GTAAGCTTTTTTGTTAGAAAATAATTTGCGACAAGCCTATTCCTTGCAAACTCCTTAAAATAAGGAATACTTTTAGCAGATTCTAATCCAAACACATTCGGAAACGTTTTTCTTCTATGCAGTGCAACCTTTCTGCTTGGTTTCCATGAAACCATCTTTTCCGGGTTCTGTTCCTATCTTTCTACTTCCTGAATCTATTTTACTGGCTTCTATTTCTCTGCCTGGCACTCAAGTGGTAATAATCCCCCAAATTCTCATTTTACATATTCTCCCTAGGTAATTCCATTTTACACATTTTCCCTGGATGAATCGCAAATCTAAATCTTGAATAAAGACCCCTTTCCTGAGCTCCAGATCATTATTTTTAATTGCCTAAGGAGAATGTATCTTTACTTTTGCTCTTGCACTGGCGCTAAAAATGCTCAGAAAAAAATCACAATCCCAATCGATTCTTCTTCCTGCCTTTCCTATGTAAATCTCAGAAGCATTTTCTATCTCCCTCCACGTTCCTATGGATTCCATATCTGAATCAACTGGTAAGTATGCCCCCTCCTTCTATCGCCTCTACTTTATCCACATAACATACCTTTCACAGCTCTTGGGCTTAACTAGTCCACCTGGTGCTGGTTCTCTGTCCTGCAATGCACCCATTACTAGTTGCCTTTTAAAAATAAAGATTTGAACATGCACTCGATTCCCTACGCTTCTATATCACCTCAACAAGACAGAGCACAATTTCCATTATATATGGCATAAAAAGTCCTTCAAAACTTGCTGCAACCTATCAGTGTCTTTGTTGTTGTTGTTTTGTTTTGTTTTTCATATCATTGTGCGAGGTTCTTTTCCAGTTTTACTGAGATATGATTGGCATACAGCACTGTATAAGTTTAAGGCGCATAGCATAATGACTTGACTTAAATATATTGTGAAATGATTACCACAATAACTTTAGCTAACATCCATCACCTCATAGAGACACACACACAAAAAAGAAGGCATTTTTTTCCTTGGGATAAGAACTCTTAGGATTTATTCTCTTAACTACTTTCCTATGTATCACACAACAGTGTTAGCTATAGTCATCATGTTGTACATTACATCCTAGGACTGATTTACTTATTTATCTTATAACTGGAAACTTGTACCTTTTGACCACTTTCATCCTACTCCTCCGTACCCCAGCCTCTTTTGTATTACCCCAGACTCAGCTGCTTCTCAGGTGCACTGTACCACTTGTTACTTCCAAACATACCAAACACTTTTGCACATCCATGCCTTTCCTCATGCTTTCTGCCTGGAATGCCTTTCATACCCTTTTCCACTGGAAGACAACAGACTGGGGTTCCAATCCCAGCCCCACCACTGATGAGTCATGCATTTTGGAAAAGATAATTAACATCTCAGCCCATTTCCTACCTCGTATATACAACTGCTTTTTAAAATTTCTCTCACAGTCATACTGAGCATTCAATGGAGAATATGATTTTAGCATTGCTCCTGGCAATAACTGCTCTTTGACCTTGAATATTTATGCTATAGAAATTGAATTTTTAAACACTTAAATTAACTCTTATTTGCCTATGACTTTTACTTGCTCATTTTTTTTAGGGGGGTGGGGTGGGTAAGGAACATTGGCCCTAAGCTAACCTCTGTTGCCGATCTTCCTCCTTTTGCTTGAGGAATATTGTCCCTGAGCTAACATCTGTGCCAATCTTCCTCTATTTTTTGTATATGGGATGCCGCCACAACATGGCTTGATGAGCAGTGTGTAGATCTGCGCCTGGGATCTGAACCCTCGAACCCCGGGCTGATGAGGTGGAGTGTGCAAATTTAACCACTACATCACCAAGCCAGCCCCTTGTTGCTCATTTTTATTTAAAGTTCCTCAAAAGACTAAAAATCTTGGTCCCAAAGGGTTTTAAGGCTTACATGGTTATCAATCACCAGCTTAAACAGTGATACGTCTCTCCATGTCACTTATAAATTAAGTAGTGGAAAGCAGTGATTCACATCCCATTATTGCACGCTCACACCTAGACAAGTGTTATTCCACAATTGCAAGCTAGAACTTACTTGTTATCATGATTTTAAGTTTCTGAAGTTTTTTTTTTCCGTTTTGTGTTTTATAAATACACAGTTTGTACTTTTAAGATTCATTCACACGGTTCAACAGGAAGCCCTGCTACGACCACTCACACGGGCAAGTATCTCAGTTCTACCATTCACTAGCTGGGTACTCTTGGCAAACAACTTTACCTCTCTGAACTTCAACTTCCTTATCCTGTAAATCTTAAGTCCATTATGAGAATTCAACATGTAAAGTAAGTGTTCCATAAATGGCAACTATTACAATTATGAATATACTTTCTGCCATGGGTTATAACGGACTCGATTTCCAAGCTCCCTAAAAACAAGAATTGTTTTGTGAGTCTTTATATCCCCAGCCTCAGGCTTGGTTAGCTTATAAAATTCAGAAATATCAATCAGACAGAACTGAAGATCTATTTTATAATTTGTCATCATCTTTCCACTGAGTTTTTGTATATGTGGCTTAATATGAGAACTAAAAATTATTTAATTTTTATTTATTGCATTTAGATTGAGTAGAATTGTAAGTGACAATATCTTTTTTCCCCTCATTTTATACTGGAAAAAAGAAGGCTAGAATTAGAAATATTTTCCTCAATCAGACAAAATAGCAATACCTCAAAAGTTAAGAAAAGTTAAAAACTAAATGACATCGTTTCCAAAGCATTAAGGAAGGGTGTAGCAGGATGGGGGAAATCATCCTGTTATTTCCCATTGCCTTAAATGTTGAGGAAAGCACTACAGAGGAAGAGAAGCCACAAGGGGGCGGAGGAGGGGGAGAACCTAGAGAGGCAGGTTTAAAATATTTCCTTGCCATGGTGATACTGGAGATAGTCTCTGTGTGTGTTTGTGTGTGTGTGTGCGCGCACATGCGTGTGTGAGTGTAGTTGTTTCTGTATCTCTCTGCGACAGTGTGTGTAGATTTCAACTTCTCTCAGTTTCTGCTTCTCCCAGCCTTGAGTTAAATTCTTCATGAGCAATTGGAGAGGGGCACTTTTAAATATTGGGACCAATTTAAATGTTGGGAACATTGAAGCTATGACGCAAATAGGAAAAAGCTGAAAGGAATTAGATTTAATTGCTAATTAGACTGCATTGAGTAAGAAGAACATTGTAACAGAAAGTCATTACAATCAGGAAATGCTTAGTTCCTAGAACGTGGTAGACCTTCAATAATCTCTGAATTTGTAATCACTCAGGTGGCAACTAGGCTGAGATTTACCTGCAGTCATCTTTGGAGAGAAAAAAAAAAAAGCTTTTACACTTAAAGTTACTACAGAAACAGTGTAGCAGGAATAGGTTTTAACATTGGTTATACAATTGGTTTTAATATATTTATACAATAAGTATTGTAACAATTGATTACACTAAAATATTACTGAAAAAAAAATCCTAGAAGTTAGTACAGAGTAAGGTCTTGAAAAAACTTTTAAAATACTTTTGAAGTAATATTTTGAAATATATTAAACAAAAAGAATTAAACACTTACACTTTTAGAGTTGGGGAGTTTTTCAGAGCTTAATTAATCCAATCCACCCAGTAACAGACCCCATTCTAATCGTCTCTCACTGCTCAACCACATGAATATACTGCCCTTTCCTCATAAAACATGAAAGTAATCTGGTCTAGGAGAATATTGACACTTGGGTCTTTTTCTCTAAACGGAAGGTCTGCTCTGTAGCTTGTACAGTGGAAACCGTGTGACTTAGAACCGGAATACCTAAGTGCCAGTCCATGCTCAATCATTGAATGGTTCTGGGACCCTGAGCAAGCCACTGTATGTCTGTTGTCTTATCAGTGAATAAGAACATGCCTAACTTACTTCCTCGGGAGGTGATTGTTGGAATTAAATGATATATTGTATGTACAAGGCCTTTCAGAAGAATATACAAAAATATGACACAAATATAAAGCACACTAAAATGCACACTAAGAAAGTCAAGCTTCTCTTTGAGCACAGCCTTCCCAACCACTTCTCCAGAGACAAACAAGGTTAACAGTTTCTAGTGTGTTCTTCCTGAAGTAGTCCAAGTGTGTGGGTGTGCTTCTTACTCAAACAGGCCTGCAGCATAAGCACTGTAGTGCATCTTATTTCCTCCATGTAGTCACATATCCTGGAGCTCTGGCCTCATTGGCACATACAGATATACCTCTTCCTCTTTTAAAATCAGTTTCGTGGTATTCCACGGAAGGCTGGGCCATCATTCTTGGAGCAGTCCCCATTCACGGTCATTTTAGGTTCCATAGAGTCTGTTTCTTTTTCTTTTACAGACTGTGACACCATAAATATCTCTGTACATATGGCTAGACTTTTGTAGCACTGACTTTTTAAAATACCTAGAAGACCTGTGACACTATTATTCTCTCTTTTATAGAATTCTGTATAAGACTGGCATCTCTTGAACTCTAGACCAAAATACGTTTAATGTTGAATGTGTGTTTTTAATAAGATCATTTCTATTAGAACACAGCACTGCAGCAAGGACCTGATGGCAGGGTTGTACTTCCGAACACGTAAGAAAAGAATAAAGAATTAAAAAGAGAAATGTCATTCAGTCTTCACTGTTTTTAAAAACAATAACAAACATTTGCAGAGTGCTCTATGGTTCAGTAGGCATTTCACAAATATTGTCTTTCTTAATGTCTCTCATTTATTACTTAATAGCATCAAAAATCCATAAAATCTTAGAACTAGAAGGGATCTTAAAGTTCTTCTAGTCCAATCAACGTTTTCAAATAGCAAATAGTTTCTAAGCCTCCTTCAATGTCTCAAAAGGGTGATCATAAATTGGACCAAAGGGGAAATATATTTTACAAATAAGCTTACATACTAGGAAGTCACGCCCAAAGTAACACTGTTGTCAGAAACAAAGCAAAATAGCTGATCAAATGGATCTGAATCTGGCACAAACCTGTAGGAGTTGGTGAACTCGTAGTCCAGAATGGTATTTGCTGTTATCACACCGCTGAGTGCATCAATCTGGAAGGCTTCTCCTTGGTTGCCAGAGAGAATGGAATACTCAATGAGGCCATTCACCCCACTGTCCAGGTCTCTAGCAAAAACCTGTGAGGAAGCAACTCTTCCATTAGATAAGGATTTAATCTGCAATATGAGTGAGGCTTGTTTTTCAGAGAAATGTGTTATGAAAGGATCACAGATTGTCAAACACACTTTAAAAACAATGATCACAGGATCCCAACACAGGGCTGAAGCTTCCATTTATAATAAGGTGGATAATGGGTGAGAAAACTGTTTATTCTGCATACTCATTCAAAGGATTTCCAAGTAACTTCCAGTAAAAGTAGCACATGTTTTAAGCTACAATTTTAGTCAAGAGGAAAAAATACTTGAAAAAAAATCTGATTTGTCTGAATAGAAGATGTCCAGTACTGTACATGGATTTACACTAGCACCAGAAAAGGAAAGAAATCTCCTCATAGTGAATGGTTGTCTTTCACCTGCTTTTCTTCCTGCTTAAAGTATTGCCTGTAAAATAGGCCACATGTGCATTTTTATATTGTATTCAAAGTCTCATTTTAAAAGAATCTTTAAACAAATGAAACAAAGCCTAGATTTAGTGCTAACAAATTTAGATCCTGATCATTTATTTGATGCATTATCACAGTAGTACTGAGGACAAAACAAAAGTTTGCATCATTCTCCATGGAGATATATTATTTACTCTGCATTACATTTAAATCACAAAACTAATCCTATTAGTGGATTCAAGATCTTGTTTAAGAACAAGTTGACAAATTAATTAAAACTTTTTTCCACTGATTTTTATCCTCTATGCCCCTCAACTTCGGCTCGAGCTCACATCCCTTGTCATCTCGCTCCTGGGCGATTACACTGATGTCCTTGTAGGATTTTGCTTCTAACTCCCTACTCTCTCAACCCATCCTTCACACTACTGTCAGAGTTCTCAGGGGACCCTGAGTGGCCCGGATGGGACATCCAGGACCTCATCAGGAGGGCACACAAGCCAGCTATTTGGTATAGAAAGGCAGCAATACAGAATTCCCTTTAAGATCACCAGGAAGAGAAGCTCATCTGCTTCTGGGCTGAATGAAGTCAATCACGTCCCCTGGGGCCACATACTTAAAAGTGTTACAGAGAGGAGGCCTCCCAGGAGGTATATCACTTAGGGTTTTAGGATGCCAGCAACTTGTATCCACTGTGGCTAACTTCACAAGGAAAGAAATGTATCAGAAAGATAGCACCCGGGTGAAGTACAAGAACCTGGATAGCTCTGGGAAACAGCTTCCCTGAGTTATTGCCCTCAAGATGAACCAACTCTATTTTTCTCCATCCTGGTGTCCTACCACTCAAGGTTCCAATTCCAGGAGAGAAAGTCTGTATGAGACTGGGGCAGTTGGCAACACCTCTGGTAGGGTGGGCGCTGGGGGGGCCAGGTCACTATCTTGATTGACAGTCCCACCAAGACTGCATCTGACAGAGGAGGGTCAGTTCCTAAAGGAAGTTCGTGGCGATGTAACCAAAAGGGGGGTGCACGGGCAGTGTGGTGGCAAAAAGCAAGAAGTAACTACCACATGGTGTAACTGCAGAGCGTTCTACATTCCTATTTATCTGAGGATGCAGGGAAATGGCAGTTCTAGTTTCCTGGAAACTAAATGATCTAAAAATGTGAAGAATAAAGTTCACTGTATCCATCTCTGACTCAGCCTTCCCAAAGTTTGACGTAACTTGGCTCAGGCTCGCTTGGGTGTACCTGGGCTTTAAAGGTGCCTTCACCTTCATAGACTCCACACTGGGCAGTCTAGCTCTATCCAGGTTAGCATGTGTGACAGAGAAGTGCAGTGCAGCAGTGCCCCAGTAGGGGATGCTCTGTGACAAAGTAGGCCCCACAGTGGCCCTGGAGGCATCTGTCATCCCCACTGAACAGGCATCATGGGCAGGGGTGATAAGATTAGAAAAGTGAATGCCCTCAACCTTCTTCTTAAACATCTCAGTCATGGCTGAAACCACAGTAAAGACACAGCACTTCTGGAACAAGCTGGCTGCCGGAGCTATTAGGCCCCTATCATACAAAACAAATCTGCAATAATAGCGTAGGAAATCCTGGACTGTGTGGGCGCAGGGCTGAAACTCCCAGACTGCTGAGACTCTGCCGGTCTAGCAAACGAGAGGGGCACACGCACGTCTGGAGCTGGACTGGAAGTCAAACCGAGGTGTCTATATATTCAGTTGAAGGGAGCCACACGGTGAAGAATTGTTGGAAGTCTTGTCCAGAAAGTGTCCTAAAATGTCATCTAGAGACCTGACCCCTCCAGCCCAGAGGAAACCGGTGTAAGAGTCATGAGGTACTGGATCACAGCAGCGGGGTTACAGAGGCCGAAGGCAATGTCCTGCTCTTCTGTTGACTTGCTCAGGAAGGGGGTTTTATGCTGATTTCCTGTGCAGATTCCCAAGAGGCTGTAGGTTTCCTGATCTCCAGGTTCTCGAATTCCAAGCATCAATTAACCCATGAAGGGAAAGGTAAAAACGGGCACTAGTCCTGAAGCAGGTAGAGAGACTATCAAGGATGCGTGGGTTTTAGAGTCTGAACAAGAATGCCTGGTGAACAGATTCTCTTTTTCAGGGGTGGGGGTTTTTTCTGAGATGAAACTAGGCCTGAAAACAGGAAGTCTGTGCCTTTCACATGAAACGTCTGCAAATCTTGAATCCAGGGAGCTCTCCCACGTGTCCACGCTTGTCTGGCTGCAGCTCCACCAGGCAAATGCCGACTTGCCCTTTAAGACTTAGTGCAAAGATCACTCTTCCGTGAAGCTTCATGCTTTTCCTCCAGGAAAAGCATGTGTCTCCTCTTTTCTCTCATGATATTAAAGATACACTTCTATTATAACATGCATTTAAATTATGTGCTTACTTTTCTGACCTCCCCACTAAATTGTACGCATTTATATGTTGAGCTAATTTTTGTGTCCCTATAGAGTCCCTGCTAGTGTTCACAGGGTCCGTAGACAAACCAGGGGCACTAACTGAGCAGAGAATGAAGACAAGAAGAAGAGTGGACTCAGAAACTCCAGACTTCCTTCAAACTAAGGTTTCCTCCAGTCCATCAAACATTGTATATGCCCTGGAAACGTTTAAAATTTCATTTGTGTCCTGGAAAAAGGCCGTAGATATTTTGATGTACATTGATTGATAATAATTCACACACACACACACACTCACGCACAAGGTGCATTTCTGTTACCTGTATGATGTGCACATTGTAGAACTGGCCTTCAGACACTGACACGTGGTAAAGGCTTTGCTCGAAGCATGGTAAATTATCATTCACATCTTCTATTGAGACGGCTACTTTGCTGTAGGCTCTGCGCCCCCTACTTTCAGCTAAAACGATGAGTTGTACTTCATGTCTGACTTCAAAATCAAGAAACTTGGGTTCTTTCACAGTGAGTTCTCCTATTTTTATTCCCAGGGAGAAAAAAAAAAATAAAAGAAAATGGCGTTGTAGTTATTATTTCAAAAGTCCCAAGACACCCTTGACTCATATGCTCACACCCTCTCTTGTCCCTCAAAGCCTCCATTGGCTGGCCTTGCTTCCCCACCGACTGGAGTCACTGTGAAAAAAGTTGAGAACATGCAGATATTTGCAGGGTTCAAACATGTATGAACTATCTGAAATCTGGGAGCTATCTCTTAAATCAGCCTTCTCTCTCCACAGGTAGTCCATCGCCATGTCTGGAAAGTCTACTTTTCAGACATCTCTTGAGTCCACTTCTCTCCGTCTTCACTGCTGCTGCTCTCCTCCAAGCCATCAGCATTTCCCACCTTGTCCCCTGCATTAGCCCATTTAACTGGTCCCATGGGAGCACTTAACTGCTCTCCCCACTAATCCAGTTCCCGCTCTGAATTAAATAATAAAAACGACACTGTCATTCTCGTGCATAAAACTCTTCAATGGCTTCCCACAGCTACTACGATAAAGTTCAGCATTTTTTCTCCAAAGGGACCCACTTCCTGAGGGCTCTCGCACCTCAGAAGTCTCAGTCGTGTCACTCTCCACTTTGGTCTCTCTGCTCTGGTCATAACACTCATAAACATTCTCTACCTCAAATGCTCATTTCAGAGTTGACATGCATGCTTTTCCATCCACCTGGAATAGTCCCCACTTCTGTGCTTCCTCAACGATCTTTCCAGACCACTCACTCTGGTACCATTACTATGTCAGCCCTCAATGGACTCTCACAAAGTGGCTGCACATACCTTGTCCACCTATTTCAGTCTACTTATTCCTCTTGATTTAGAAGCTCTAAGGCGAGGACGGTGACCTGTCTCGTACACCATCGTGTCCCTCAGGGTCTGGCATACAGAAGGCACCCAATAATACTGGTTATACCCTCATATAAAAAGTAGAACAAGGGGGCTGGCCAGGTGGCCTAGCGGTTAAGTTCGCGTGCTCCGCTTTGGCGGCCCAGGGTTCACAGGTTCGGATCCCAGGCATGCACCGATGCACTGCTTGTCAAGCCATGCTGTGGCGTTGTCCCATATAAAGTGGAGGAAGATGGGCACAGATGTTAGCCCAGGACCAATCTTTCTCAGCAAAACGAGAAGGATTGGCATCGGAGGTTAGCTCAGGGCTAATCTTCCTCACACACACAAAAAAAGTAGAACCAGGTTAGAGAAACTGACTCTTGGAGGTTTATGCCTTGCACAAGTTTCTCCCCCAAATTAAGAAAATTCCTCCCCTGATATAATTTCCTTCCCTAGTTTCTACTCTGTTTTCTCCTCCCCTTCACTATCAAATTTTTTACTGAATTTATTATTATTGTTATTTTATTATCATGATTTACTTAGTTCTCACTGTTGGAAATTCCGTCCAAGAGAGACTTGTTGAAGGAGCACTGACGTGGAGTTTGAGAAACCTGAAATCAAGCATAAACCCCAGCCCTGGCTACTTAATGTAGGCAAATTACCAGGCTCCACCACTACTAAGTTTGTGACCTAGAGTAAGTTATTCAGGTTCTTTAGAGCTGAGTCTCCTCCTCTGTACAATGGGGGTATTAATAATGACTTCATGGAGTTGCTGTGAGAGGTAGTATAGTGCATGTTTAGAATGTTCTTTGCGGTAACATGATATAGATTCCAGTGTTCTACCCACGTCTCTCATACCCTCCATTATCAGATACAGATTTATTATCTGAATTTAGAAAAAGAATATTTAATAGCCATGGACTATTAGAAGTTTGATCAGCTGGTGAAAGAACCTGTACTGTTTCTGGAAATATGGCCTGGAAGCCACAGTTCTTATTGCTCTATCTGAACCTGTTTCCCTAGATAACCAACCTAGTTCAAGAAAACTTCAGGCTATCACATACTTACCTGGATGCTAATGGGAATCATATCCGGTTCTAATATTCTAACTTTGGTACTGAGTGCTTTGGAGGGATTTTAGAGCTTCTATTCTGTTATTAAGAAAAATTAAATATTCATATTCTATATGAAGAACTCACTATACTACCAGACTTAAAATCTCATAAACTCCTTTCATTTATTGTCATCAGATTTAGTTACCAATTCAAAAAACCAAATTACTTTCACAAACCACAATCTGATGTTACCAAGACTCTTGACAGAAAATTTAGAGTAGATCTAACTATTGGTACCTGGAGAATCATTTCAATTATTAGAATGCATTTTGATGAACTCGTAATGAAAGAAACTGGTCTTTAGAAACCTCTGTGACACAAGGGCTGAATCCATGCCCCCAAATGGCAAAGGAGCCCCGGTCTGAGGTGGGTCCAAAGCTCTCATCTGGAGCACTGTCTGCACCAAACAGAGCATTCAGCGTGCTATCATGTTCTGCTACTATTCGTAAAGGAAAAAGAAAACAGAAATGCAACACTAAATTGCCAGTGTCACTTAGTAGAAAGCATGCCAACTGTAGCGCAGATCAAAGTGGAGTTTTTAATAAAAGGCTTGTGTTTAGGCTTTGATAATTGGAATTTTGCACTTGGAATTGATCTGCAGTTCTAATGTTTTCCTTGCTTGCATTTTATTTTTGGTATAATAATTGGCATATGCTGGGAAAGCTGTGCAAGCAGCAAAGACAATCACCAGCCTATGAGACGATTCAAGGCGGGCACACCTACTAGACCCACATTTTGCCTTGGATGATATATGCATATTTTTCTCAGAGACATCAAGGATTTACTGTTACCAGCAAGATGAAAGTACTCCTGGGCTCTGTCTAACAGTATGAGCAGAAGTCCACATTCTCCTTCCAGTAAGAGCCTCACAATATCAGCTTCATGTTCATTCTTACATGTCAGTGTGCCAGTTACATAATAACTTGAGAATGAAACTGAGATAGTAATATTTTCCTTCTGATATATGTACATTTCCAGCTTTTGTCCAAGTTATAAAACACACATCGAAGTGAGATTAAGATTCTTCAAACGCTAAATGCTTGATAGCATAATCAGGTTACTCCAGCCAGTTACAAACTATGCATGAGCATATGTACACACCCAGAGCAGAATGTGATAAATATTTATGTTAGCCAAAAGCTTTTAAACTCTCTCCTGTTAAAACTATATCCTCGAGTCACTGAAAGTTTGATCATTTTTGTTTTATGTCAATCTACCAAATAATGGAAAGAATACTACCATCTGTTATTTACATACACAACATCAGTCAAACTCCAAAATCCCTGGTGGTTTAGACAGTGAGTAGTAGACGTTTTTAAGCTAAAGTGACAGGAAGTTTGGATACAAAAGTAAACCTCTGGTTTGTGACTATGGAACACAGGGCAAACTCTGGCACAAATGGACAGAAAGCATAGTTCTCATCAGAGATCTATCTAACCTAACTTACTAAACCAATAGTGAATAAAATGGTTTTCTCCTATTTTTACCCCTAAGAAAAGTGACCACAACCTTAGAGGTCAACTTTATTGATTTATCATACGTACTAGTTTTCTATTTTAACTGGTATGTGGTTTAAAATACATACATTCATATAACCTATATCAGGTACCTTTAGATACAAGTTTAATGATTATATGACAAAGGTGGCAGGAAAGATGAATTTAAAATCATAATTAAAGATTTTTAAAAAGGTTTATTGACAGCTGTATGGTAAACTATATACTGGAACAATCCTCCTGATAAAAACAACTAAAATGCTTGACAAATTATATACGTGTGCATGTGTATTGAGATGTATTATTGAGTTGGTATAGTAGTAAGGAATCCTCAGAGGACAAAAAAACAAATGAAAACAGTAATCCAGGGAGGTAAGCATGCACTAAAAGCCCATTTTTTTCTCCAAGGGTTTCTAACATAACCCTCTTCCTTGAGATTCTTCTCCAATAGCTGCTCAGGGTATGGAAAACAAGAGAAAAATCCTGAACCCACAAAAGGTGAAGGATCTAGTAGGAAAACCAGAATAAAGCTGGAAACCCAAAGGCTACCTAAGGTCCAAAAGAGTGATCAATATTAAAGAAACAAAAACGAATTAAAAACAGATGTGCAGTAACCTGCTCCTCTTGAGCTTGATGTTGGTTGGAAGGGAGAAAAAGAAGTTTCTGCTGAGAATTCATTAGCTTAAGCCTGAATGTATGGTAGCCATGCTATCATAGCTAAATTTTTTTAAAACCTTCAATAATTAAATTTAAGCTAGACTTTGGTCAATGATGTCTCTGGGTGACTTGCAGAAGGGCAAGCAAATCCTCTCTAAAGGGCACAAATTCAACCCAGGCTTCAAAGAATCTTCAAAGAAAAAGTTTCAAAGACAACGAGCAGCTCATAGTTAACAACCACAAAAAATCACAGAGAAATGAGACACTGTGAATGAGAGCTAGCAAATCCATAGATAGCAGAATAAATCTTCAAGGACCAAAGATGCTGAAATTATTGGACACAGAATATGTAATTATGATACATATTTAAACATATATAAAAAAAGAACCTTGGAAATATGAGCAAGGAACAAGAAATTACTCTTTTGAAAGACCAAGAAGAGTTTAAAAAGATCTTAAAATTAAAAATGTAGTTCCCTAGACTGAAGAGAAAAGGGACAAAGAGATGAAAAAGAGATGTAGGAGAGGGTGAGATGGCCCAATATTCGTCCAATTGGAGTTCCAAAAAAAGATCCAAATAAATGGTATTTAGATCAACAGCTGACTTCTTAATAACTATGAACCTAGAATTCTAAACCCAGTAAAAGTATCTTTTAAAAACAAAAATTAAATAAAGACATTTTTAGACAACCAAAATCAGAAAATTTTCTACAATAGACCCTCACTAAAGGATTACTTGAGGCAGAAAGACAATGACACTAGAGGAAAATCTGAGATGTAAGAAAGAACGGTTAGCAAAGAAGCAGATAAATCTATTTAAAAATATTAATAATGCCTAATTTGAAAGAATTAAAATTGTAGTCAATAAAAATTTATAAATTGAAAAAGGGATATTTGGAAATAAAGAATTCTGAGTCTCATTTTATTCAGGAGCAGGATATTGACTAATGTAAGACTTTAATTATATATGTTAAAATACACAGGGGAAAATGGTCATTTTCAGATAATGATTTTATATGCTGAATGTACAGAAAGATATCAGAGTCAATAAGAGTTTATAAGTTTGCTAGATACAAAATCAAAATATAAAAGACAACTTCAAGTGTACACACCAGCACTGTCAGATAAAGCACTTTTTCACTTACTTTAGCAAGAAAAAGTATAAATTATTTAGGCTAAATCTAACGAGAAGTATGCAAGCCTGCTATAGAAAAAAATTGAAACTTTATTAAAATATATTAAAGAAAAAAATTGGTGCCATTTTCTCTATTATCTCTGGATTAGAAGGCAATACTGTAAAGATATAGGTTTTCCCCAAACTGATATTTAAAATTAATATAATTCCAGTAAAATTTCCAACAGCCTAAATGTCCATCGATGGATGGATGGATAAAGAAAATATGGTGTATACATACAATGGCATGTTACTCAGCCTTAAGGAAATCCTACCATATGTGACAACACGGATGAACCTTGATGACATTATGTTAAGTGAAATAAGCCAGTAACAGAAACATAAATATTGCATGATTCCACTTATATGAAGTATCTAAAATAGTCAAACTCATAGAAGTGGGGAGTAGAATGACGGTTGCCGGGGCCAGGGGGAGGGTAAAATGAGGAGTTGCTGTTCAACAGGTATGAAGTTTCAGTTATGCAAGATGAATAAGCTCTAGAGATCTGCTGTACAACATTGTGCCTATTTAACAATACTGTATTGTATACTTAAAAATTTAAGAGAGTAGATCTCAAGTTAAATATTCTTACCATAATTTAAAAAAAAAAAAGAAAACAAAACAAACAAAAGAAAAGTTTTAGTAGGTGATTATTATCTACAATGCACAGCTATAAGGGGGTTTGTGATATTTGAAAGGAGGATATTTTGGTCTGATGATTAAGTTACTTAAATTCTAGATTGGAGCCATATGATTTTTTTTGACATTTTCTTTGTTAATTTGGGTGAGGTTTTACCTGAAATCAAATGTGCATGCCAAGGGTATGTGGGTTATATGCATGAAGGTGTGGACAGTTGTACATCACCCAAAAGTTTATGAATAAATCTCTTTTCCTTGGGAAAAAAATCCCAGGGCCGGCCCCGTGGCTTAGCGGTTAAGTATGTGCGCTCCTCTACTGGCGGCCCGGGTTCGGATCCTGGGCGCGCACCGACGCACTGTTTCTCCGGCCATGTTGAGGCGATGTCCCACATACAGCAACTAGAAGGATGTGCAACTATGACATACAACTATCTACTGGGGCTTTGGGGAGAAAAAGGGAAAAAAAAAAAGGAGGAGGATTGACAATAGATGTTAGCTCAAAGCCGGTCTTCCTCAGCAAAAAGAGGAGGATTAGCACAGATGTTAACTCAAGGCTGATCGTCCTCACACACACACAAAAAAATCCCAGTAGGCTTGTGTGTGTGTGTGTAAAACTTGACAAGTGGATACAATGATTTATACTAGAGCAAAGGGCCAATAACAGCTAATATACTCATGAAGAAGAAGATGAGAATGGTGTAAATATTGGGAGAGGGCTGTTTCCCTGATATGAAGATTTATTATAAAGTCAACGAAATTAAGAGAGTGTGGTATTGGTGTGTGGGTAGACAAAGAGACAAATGGAAAGGAGTCAAGAGTCTGGTAAAGAGTCTCAGAAACATAATATATGACAGTGATGGTACTGCAGATCACAGGAGAAGGTTTTTGCCATTGGAATAACTGGCAATCCTCATTGAAAGAAAAAGAAAAGGAAAGGAAAGAAAAAAAAAAAAGAAAAGTTATCCCTAACCCACGTAAAACACAAAAATCAACCCTAGATGCACTAAACATGTAAATGTGAAACATGAGAAAAATATAAAGTTCTAAAGGACAATGTAAGAAAATCTTCATGATCTCAGGGTAGGGAAGAATTTCTTAACTTACAAAAAGGGCAAATCATAAAGTAAAAGACTGATTAATTCTAACTCATTAAAATCAAAACAGGCCATTAAGAAAGTGAAAGACAAGTCATAAACTGTAAAAAAATTTGCAACAAGAAACAGAGAAAGGATACATACTAATGAAATATATTAAAAATTCTCACACGTCAGAAAGAAAAACAAACAACCCAGTAGAAAAACATACAAAAATATCAATATGCATTTCACATAGGAAAAAACAGGAATGCCCAATAAACTATGAAAAAATGCTGCAATTCATTAGTGATAAGGAAAATGCAAACTACAGCCACAGTGAGACAGCATTTCACACCCACCAGATGGCTCTAGAATGTAGGATGTGAACAACCATGATAGCTCTCATTCAGTGCTGGTGGGATGTTAAGTGGAATGGCAAAGATAAACCATATGCCCAGCCTAGACTCTAGGGCCTAGAGAACTCCTTACATTGCACCAGAGACACATATGAGATTGTTCCTAATTGCACTTGTCATTATATGCCCAAACAAGAAAACCTCACTATCCATCAACAGTAGAACGGATAAATAAGTTGTGACATAGGCTTACAACAGAATACCATAAAGAAATGAACAAGAAAGAGCCCCAGCTACATACATTAACATGAATCATTCTAATTTTTTTTGTGTGTGTGAGGAAGATGAGCCCTGAGCTAACATCTGCCAATCCTCCTCTTTTTGCTGAGGAAGACTGGCCCTGGGCTAACATCTGTGCCCATCTTCCTGTACTTTACATGGGACGCCACCACAGCATGGCTTGAGAAGTGGTGCATCGGTGCATGCCCGGGATCAGAAGCTGCAAACCCTGGCCCCCTGGGGTGGAGCGCGTGAACTTGTCCTATGCCACTGGGCCGGCCCCGAATGATTCTAATTTTGAATAAAAAAATCTAATCCTAATAGAATACATAGAGTATAAATCCATTTATATAAAATTCAAAAATAAGCAAAATTAAACACTTTTATTGTGTAGGAACACATTTTCTATAAGTCACAAGGGAATGATTATCCCTGAAGTTGGGACACTGGTCAGCTTGGGGCAGTGGAGAGAAAGGATGCAATCAGAACAGGGCACAAAGGGAGGGCCGATGATAGTGATCATGTTCTGTTTTATAACATTGGTGGCAGGTACATATTCTTCGCTATTCCTCTTTAATGTGTACATAATGGTTAATGCACTAAATCAGAGTAATAATGTTGAGCAAAAGAATCAAGTCATAGAAGAGTACGTTAAGCATGATTGTATTAAGATGTTTAAACCAAGGTAAAACTAAATAACACGTTGTTTAGGGATTCAAACATGATGGGAAAATTATAATGAAAAAAGGCAATGATTAACACCAAATTCAGATTACTGATTACAGATTACCAATGGGGTGAAAGAAGAGAGACATGAGAGGGAGGGGACACACAGAGGCTTCCTGAGGTTTGAGAAAGTCTCATCTTTGGAGATAAGTGGTAATTACATGGGTTTTTATTTTACTATTTTCCATTAAACAGTTTTATAAGTCTTAACATTTCATTTTGTAGCAATTCCACAATAAAATTCTGAAACAAATTTCAACATAAATAAATAAACACTTACTGGAAAAATAAAGAGTTTTCTGTGGATGACCTATTTGGACTAACCCTAGGCATATTTTATCTGCATTTTAATGAGAGACTCTAGAAAAAATAAGGCCAAGCCTGGGCCATGTTAGGAGTGAGGTGGCGAAGGATTTGGGTAGCCTGGGAAATGTGCAAACTCTGCTACTCTCCTTCTTCCTAAAAGTTCTAATTTCAGCTCCTTTCCCAGAACCCTCAGACATCTGGATTGCTAGAAACAAAGCTTGGTGGTGTTCACAAATGGTCCTCTTGCCAAAAGGCTTCCTGCACCACCCTTTAACCAAGTGATGCGGTGAAGAGACGAAGGTGTCTAGCAGGCTACCTCAGAAAGGTTCCTGACCAAAGCCTGTGTGGACCAAAAAGTCGTAACACCACCCTGGAAGAGAAGGCATTTGCTTAAGAAATTACCCCCTCTCATTTCTTCCCATGTGCATGTAGTACAGATTATACAAGGAAGTTGTATGGTAATATAGAAATTATTAAAAACATTCTTCTTGAGGTCTGACAACAAAGCAGTAGATACGTATCTACTACATAGTTGTTAGTCAAAAAAGTATGTTTCAAATAATCAATTGGTATTCATTTAAAACATAATAATGGTCTTATTAAAGCTAAATTTAATACATGCAGTATTTGGAAGTAATTTCTTTACCACTACATAGAAACCTTTCCAGCTGTCCTTTTTTGTTGCATTTTTGACATTCAGCGGGGAATTAGAAGATTCTCTGATGAGAATTCCCTAAGGCTAGACATGTGCTCATTTTCAACTCAAACTCAATATCGATGATCTCACTACTATACCTCCAATTCTCCCAAATAGGTGGGTAAATTATAAGTAGAAACCAATTTATCTTCAAAAATTCAGAGTAGGATACGAACTGTCAAATTTGGAAATGTGAAGAGTAGAATTCTTAGCAAGTACATGTAAACAAACAAATAGTCTTGATATCCCACAATTTCTCATCAGCTCCCATAAAAACTCTTTCTTGTTTACCTTTTATATAATTTACGTCTAACAATTTCTGCCTTTCAAATTTTGAGTTTCCTTTGCAGAAGTATTTCTTACTAGTAACATTAAATGGAGCAGGAAATAAAGCCATTATAGGGTAAAGAAGGATTACCTGAGTTGGAGCACAGAGAAAAAACTCCATCTTCATTTCCACTAAAAACTGAATACTTAATGCTGTCTCCTATTGAGTCAGGAGCAAAAGCTTTTACAGTCACAATAGAAGTACCTGTAGAAATTAGGTAAAAAAAAAAAAAATAGGAATTTAGTGAAAAGAAAATTTCAGGGGAAAACAAGATCAAACACTGGGTATTTATTATTTGCCTACTACATTTTCATTTGTTCAGTAATTCAGTGATTACTTATTGAGTGTCTTCAACAAGCCAGATTCCATGCTAGGTACTAGAGATATAGCGACAAACAAGATAGAAAAGATCTCTGTATTCATGGTGGTTACTAAACTGATGGGAGGAGACAGACAATAAAACATTAAATAAATACATAATCAAGGTACATTTCAGATGTACTAAGTTTCCTGGAAAGAAATAAACAACGTTATGTGTTAGAAAATGCTTCTTTTGAGGGGAGGCGAACAATCCCTTACAGAAGTCTCAGAAGAATGACACTCCAGTTGAACCTTGAAGCATGCCAAGCCATAGGAAGAGCTGGAAGAAAAGGATTCTAGAGAAGGAACAGCAATTGCAAGGCCCAGGGCTGGAGAAGTCTTGGTCTGGTCTAGCACAGTGAGTAGTGGAAAGGTGGAAAGTGAAGATAGCATCTAGGGAGGCAGGAATCAGATTCTATTCTAAGTGCAATGGGAAATCATGGGAGCATTTTAAGGAATGGAGTAAAATATTCTGATTTACTTCTAAAAGATATCAATCAGATTGCTGTGTGGAGAACAAAGAGGAGTAAAAATGGAGCAGAGAGGCCAAGTAAGATAATACTGCAATAATCCAAGCAATGACCCAGGATTGTGGGAGGAGAGATGGAAAGAAGGGGATAGATTAAAGTCATATTTTGACACACTTCCCTGAACATTGGATGGGATGCAGGAAATGAGGTCACAGGAGTATATATATAAGAAATTTTTCCTGAGCCAGTTTCCAGTATAGTTGTAAGTAAAAGCAACCCAACGAGAGAGTAATGGAGATCTTAACTGCATAATACTGACTCATTCAGGAATTGTTAAGATAGAGAAGGAACAGGCAAGAGATAACTTGAATGAAAAAATGGAAATTGAGTTAGGTATAGGAATTAGGGAGGAAAGAAGGGAGTCATGTCATTTTATAGGGAACGGTGATTACTATCACGAAAAAAGACTTAATAAGACTGATAGTGGCAATACGATGATTGGTGTAATTAATTGGGATTTCACTGAAAGGGTTTCCAAGAATATATATAGGCCCCAAGTTAGCACTTTGCTATCTTCATTTGTAACGTCTTGTGCCCTTTCCTACTCATCTCTGCTTTGCTCTGTGTCATAGCTGTCCATTTGTCTCCCTCCTATGACTACCTGTATCGTTTTTTTAAAAGTATTTTTTACTTAAACTTTATTAAGGTAAAATTTATATACAATAATATACACATATTTTAAGTGTACAGTTCTATGAATTTTGACAACTATATACACCTGTGTAACCACCATCATGATCAAGATGTAGAATATTTCTGTCACTCCAGAAAGATCCCTCATGCCCTTTTGCAGTCAGGTTTCTCTTACTTCTGGCCCCAGGTAATCACTGATCTGCTTTCTACAACTCTAGGTTAGTTTTGACTTTAAAATGTCATACAATTGCCAACCATACAGTATCTGGCTTCTTTTGCTCGGCATAACTTTTTTGAGAATAAAGCTTATTAGTCTGTGTATGAAAAGTTTATTCCATTTTTATTGCAGAGTAGTATTCTACTGAATGGACATACCACAATTTGTTTACCCATTCATTTATAAATGGACATTAGGACCGTTTTCAGTTTGGGGCTATTACGAATAAAGCTGCTATGAACATCCATGTAAAAGTGTTTGTGTGGACACAAATTTTCATCCCTCATGGATAAACACCTATGGCAAGTGTATGTTTAACTTTATGAAACTGCCAAACTGTTTTCCAAAGTGGTCATATCATTTTACATTCCTGCTAGCAACATATGAGAATTCCAGTTGCTCCACATCCACTGGTATTGTCAGTCTTTTTAATTTCAGTCATCCTAGTGGATGGGAGCAGTATCTCACTGTGGTTTTAATTGTAATTTCCCTGATGTCTGATGATGTTGAGCATCTCTTCATATGCTTATTGGCCATTTTCACCCTCTTTTTAAATTCATCTTTCTTTTCGGCTTCTTGTTCTCTACTCAGTCACCACTTTTGAGAAATTTTTTTCATAGTTCTTTCCTGGCCCTAGCTCTCTTGTGTTAGGCCTATAACTTCTGGCATCTACTTTAGACTCCCACTCTGTCAATGACCCTGCCTCTCCTCTTACTTTCATTCTGCCCTAAATGATGCCAGCTCTCAGCACAGGTATGCATGTTGTACTGAGAGGGGAGAGATGCGAAAGAGATGGACTCTGTAGGAGGCTCTCTGGCTGCTGAGTATGCAGCAATGGGGACATGATATAAGATGTTGTCAGCAAGACACAAGAGGAAAAGTAAAAGGAAACATTTTATAAGGAAATAGGTGCTGACATGGTGTCAGAGATGAGTAAAACATGGGCTCATTACCTCAGGTGCCTTTGGGTAAAAGCAAGAAGCATAGAAAAATGAAGGAGCCAGATGGGTGGAGGAGGCCAGAGACTGCCTGATACTCCTAAGGCACTCAGCTTCAGCTCACCACTGCCAGCGGGGAAGGCAGGCTGTAGGATGCTCGAGATTCTGGTCTTTTCACGAGAGGCTCAAAAATTCACATTTATTTTCATATGAAATCTCCCAATTCCTAATGTTGGAAAATAATTCAGGGGGAAAAAAAGCCACCACATGGGCTGAACAAAACACAGCTGTGGCCTGACTACAGTTCTGAGTCTGCTCATTGACCATCTGTTATGGAGGAGATAAATCTCTCCTTTTTGTTACCAGCCCTTCTGGCACTTACATGGTGGTCTAATACGTCATCCACGGACTTGTACTGAACACACTTGAAGACTGACCTCATCACTCTGCTAAGCTGGACTAAACGCCATGAGAGCAGAGGAGGTTTTCTATATATTTGTATTCTATATATTTCTATAACTCTAGATTAGTTTTGCCTTTAAAATTTCCTAGACTTGAAAATCACATAGTAGCTGTCTTCTTTTGCTTAGCATCCTTTTTTGAGAATCAAGCACGTTGTTGTGCGTATCAAAAGTTTGTCCCTGTGTCCATAGTAGGTGCTTAATAAGAATGGGGAGAAGGGAGGTAGGAAAGGAGACAGAGAGGAAGTAAGGGAGGGAGGTGGTCACTGGCGTCTTCTTGCTTGAGAAATTAGAAAAATGCTTCTCTGCCTACAGGACTCTTCTAAACAACAGCAATTATTTTTAAAAAATCATTCATTGCTAAAATACCACATCTGATAGTGGGATTTGCAGTAGTTTAAAAAAAATTCACACCTATTCAAAATCTCTGCTGGGCCTCCTCATTGAATCCTACTGTGCAGTCCCCAGGGAACAAATGTGAAACCTATCTGGCTAGAGGTTATAGTGAAAACGCTCTGTAAACCAAGCCAAATTGATATACTTTTTTTTTCTGGATACTTAAAAGGGATTCACTAAAAAGGGAAGAAAGAAACAACCTTCGGACAGACAATATTTTCCCCAGAAGACTTTTCAACCTTAACAGTCAAAGAAAAATGCAATGATCACTAGAAATATTACAGGAAACAAGTATGTGATATTGTCCACAAAATTGAAAATTCGGTGAAAAAGGCGTAAAACAGAACTCATTATGGAGAAAAAATAGGAAAACCAAAACTGGGTATATTACTCTCTTTAAAAACATTATGTTTAACATAAACTGTGACAAAGTTTGAAAATCATTTATCAGGACTTCCAAATGGTTGTTCTTTTCAAGCCAGTTATGTGACAAAGTAAAGGATTTTAATCAATCATGGTGGAATCAAGATACTACACATGTTGAGAATTCTTCCAAATTGCATTATAATCTGATGCTTTATTTTATTACATTTCAGGAGACATATTGTTAATACAAAAATGTCTTACATTTTTGGTAGGACTATGCCTCCACAGTAGTGAGTATGTTTTATCTTCGGTGCTTAGTCATAGTTCTGTGCTTCCTGATACAATGTACTTTTTAAACAAAGGAAATTTTATTTCCACTGGCTTGTCATATATTCTTAAGAATGGCAGTAAGAAGAGAAACAGCTATGCAAGCAAGATGTACAATCTTGCTGATGGACTTTTCTTCATGGGTTAGGATGCTTATTATATGCCCAATTACAAAAGAAAACATGGAGATTGCTTGCATGTCAGAGAAAAAAGATGAGTACAGAATCTCAAATAAGAATCACATATGGCTTCTCATAGAAGGAACAATCCTATTTTTATTACAAATAAAATGTTCATAATATCAAATGAAATTGTAGCACACAAAGAATTTCATTCAATGAAAATGCTTCAAACTGGATGCTCAAGTCAGCAAAGAGCTCCGAATATTTATATATGTTGTTCCTCTGACAAAGTTTAAATTTGAGACTGCCTGAAAAAAGAGGAAATAACTAAAGGGCCTTGAGTCCTTCTAGGTCTCGACTTACTGTGCACATTTTATATAAAAGTCTGTCTCTGGGTATCTAAATAAAACTTACAATTACTGGTCATTTCATATCAAGGTAGAAATGGTAAAATAGGAAAGCCAACACTGTACCTTCAATTGCGAGGAGGTAAGTGAAACATATAGAAGAATTTACCTTTTACATTTTCAGGCTTTTGTGAATTTCACTTTAAGTCTAACATTGTGTCAAAAAAGGGTAATATTCTTAATTTTTTTTTTTCCTGAGGAAGATTCACCCTGAGATAACATCCATTGCCAATCTTCCTCTTTTTTTGCTTGAGGAAGAATAGCCCTGAGCTAATACCTGTGCCAGTCTTCCTCTATTTTTCATATGGGTTGTTGCCACAGCATGGTTGACAAGTGGTGTAGGTCCACGTCCAGAATCCAAACTTGTGAACCTGGGCTGCCAAAGCGGAGCGTACCAAGCTTAACCACTATGCCACAGGGCCGGCCCCAATGTTTTTGTTATATGTT